GAGCATAACCTGATACTCCATCAACCAGTAGCTATTGCAGGGCCTACCCTGTAATGTGGCCCAAATGTGGAGTTCAACAGGTGTTACCACCCTTCTAGGTAAAAATTCTGAAACCTCACCAGACCAGAGGTGATTGCAGAGCCCAGCAAATGGCCCCATCTGACAGTGAAACACAGCCAGGAGCCCTGCCCAATCAGATAGCCCAAACAGCAGGCCCAACCAACCACAGAGCAGATCCAGCATATACCTCCGAACCTCAGATCATGGACAGACAGTGGCCTTGCCCCCCTGTATGGATGCTACCAGCTGTTCCATCTAGTACCCAAAATTGAGCCAACCGGTGAAGGTCTTTCCCTGCTGAGGCTAAGCTGTAACTTTTGGAAGAGGAGACTGCTCACTCAAATACACTAGTACCAATAAAAAGAATTAAGAGTCATGGAGAATAAGGAGAACATGACACCACCTAAGGAAACTAAAAAACTAATATTTGTCCCTAAAGAAATAGAGATCTATAAATTGTCTGACAAAAAAATCAGGATAATCCTCTTAGGGAAGTTAAGAAAACTGTAAGAACACACAGACAGACAACTCAATTAAATGAGGAAAACAATGCATAAACAAAATGAGTTCAACAAAGAAAAAGAATCTATCAAAAACAAACAGAAATTCTAGAGCTGAAGACTACAATGACTGGACTAAAGAATTCAACAGAGAGTTTCAACATCAGACTCAAGCAGAAGAATCAGTGAACTGGAAGATAGCTATTTTTAAATTATCTAGTCAGAGGAGCAAAAGAAGAGTGAAAAAGAGTGAAGAATACACACAGGATTTATAAGACATCATTAAGGAAAGAAAAAGAATCGGACAGAAAGTCTATTTAAAACAATAATGGTTGAAAATTTCCCATATTTGGGGAAAGACATGGGCTTTGAAATTCATGAAGCCCAATGAACCAAATCAGTTGAACCTGACAAGGGCTACAGTTTACACTCTATAATTAAATTGTCAAAAGTCAAAGACAAAGAGAGAATTTTGAAAAAATGACTTGCCACATGCAAGGAAGCCCCCATAAGACTACCAGTGGATTCCTCAACAGAAACTTTTCAGATAAGAGAGAGGGGAGTGATGTGTTAAAAATATTGAAAGAGCAAACTGTCAACCAAGGACAGTATCCAGCAAAGCTGTCTTTCAAAAATGAAGGAAAAATAGACTTTCTCAAACAAACAAAAGCTCAGGGAGCTCATCACCAGTAGGCCTGCTTTCTAAGAAATATTAAAGGGCCTTCTTCAAGCTAAAATAAAAGAATATTAATAAACATTGTAAAAACATATGAATGCATAAAACTCCCTGGTGATGGTAAATATATAATTGAAGTCAGATTTTCTGATACAGTAAAGATGTTATGTAATTCATTACAACTACACTGTAAAAATTAAAAACAAATGTATTGAAAAATTCATAACTATAATAATTCATTATTCGATACACGATATTGAAAATATGTAAATTCGAACACCAATAACCTTAAATATGAGGAAGAAGTAAAAGTATAAACTTTCTTTGTGCTACACTATCAAAGTTAAGTTGTTATCAGTTTAAAATAAAAATTATAAATATAAGATAGTTTATGTAAGCTTCTTGTTAACCATAATGGAAAAATCTGTAGTTCGTACACAAAAGATTATGATAAAGGAGTCAAAGTATCAAGGATTATGATAAAGGAGTCATCAAGTCACAAAGGAAGACAGTAAGAGAAGAAGCAAGGAACAAAGTATCTACAAAACAGTAAGAAAAGAATTAACAGCCTTGAAATAATCATACTAAGTGATATAAGTCAGACAGAAAAAAATCGAAAATCACATGATATCACTTATATATGGGATATAAACCTAAAAGCAATGAATTAACAGGACAAACAAACAGAGACTCATGGACATGGACAATGGACTAGTGGTTACCAGAGGGGAGTGGGCAGGGAGAGGGAAGAGGTTGATGGGGAAAAAAATTAATCATTTCTTCAATTAAAAAAATAAATTAAAAAAAAGAATTAACAAAATGGCAATAGTAAGTTCTTAAGT